TCTCTCTCTCTCTCTCTCCTTCAAGTGTCTCTCTACCGCTCTTTCTTTCGTTTTCACTCTTTCTCTCATAATCTCCTTTTCTGTGCGTTTTTTTTTTTTCAAACAATACACTTTAATAAATTAATAATCAATTTTCTTTTTGATCTGTATAAAGTAGAAGGGAACGCGTTATTGATTTCCCCTACAGAAAGATTTCTCGTTGTTTTCTTTCCTGAAATTTTCAATGAATAGTAAGTGCACATATGTGATGCAGCGTGGTGGAATCAGGCTCTCTTCAATTTTTGGGCATATTGAGCTATTGGTATCATCTTAGAGCTTGTTCATTTATCTTGCTTTCAATGAAAAAATTACCCACCCATCTTCAATAGAAGTGGGGATATTTCGGATTGAAGGAGGTGGGGGGTCACCTGGTTTAGGAGGTAAAATTAGCGAGAAAATGGCCGCCAAAACTTGGTAAATTCCAAAGCTGGAGAGTCCATGGACACTGTAAATTTATATTTTTGTGCCTTTAATCAACGTTGTCGGTGAAATCCTTTAAGGAATGTGTTTATAAATGGACATAAAAGGTGTTGAGCCAAAAAACAGAAATTTGATAAAAACTGCTAAGCAATGAGAAAACTGCTGTTTTCTTCGATTTCATTATTTTGACGAGAGCCTGATTCCACCACGCTGCCTCACATATCATTAAAAGGAGTTTGCGAATAGAAATGATTTTGCAATAAGTGAAAAGAGGTAAAATTGTCTGACATTTGAGAAACAAAAAAGCGACAGGAACGGGGGTCAATGAAATTGTGTGTTGTTTCAGTTTTTGTGTCATTAGTAATTTTGTTCTGTTGTTGTTGCTCTTATTTCTACTATGTTATGATTATCGTTGTTGTTTTTGCTGGTGTTGTGTTTAATGTATTTGTCGTTGGCGATACTCTGTTCGTTGTTGTTGTTGTTGTGTGTGTGTGGTAGCCTCTCCGTTCGAAATGTTTGGAGCCCCGAAGAGCGTGCTCTTCACCACGGTCCCCGCCTCTCTTTCCTAGCGAGTGAGGCAGTCCAACCTCCCTAATTCCTCCCCAAAGAGATCCACCGCCGGATCGTTGTTGTTGTTGTTGATGGTGTGATCATTGTTATTTACTTCTGATTTGGAAGGCATGTTTCCCTTGCTGGTTTTTTATGTCATCTTTTGTTTTCTCTTTTGTTTCGATCGAACGGTAAAATCATAATATTATACTTACTTATCTACCTTCCTGTCTACCTACATACCTGTCTATCTACCTACCTACCAACCTACCTGTCTACCTACCTACCTACCTACCTACCTGCCTACCTACCTACCTACTTACTTACTTACTTGGTTGAAGCATAGGCATCAGTGCAGGCGGCACAATGCCATAGCTCCTCATCCCTCCTCTCCAGGATCCATATTGAAAGGGTCTGCCTGCTGATTGTGCCAGTTATCAGCTGGTTGGATATTCTTCTGGCTTTTCCACGCAGTTTGCTGTCTCTTCCCGACCCTCTAGAGACACCAGTCTTTCCACTTTGTGCAAAATCTTATAACACACAAGGAAGAGTACTATTTCAAAAAAAGAGCACTACACCCTCACGACTAAGGGGAAATATTTCGAATAGGACAAAACAAATCAAACTGTGAAATCCACTCGGATTTATTTTATTATTGATTATTCCTATCATCCACAATTAGATGTTAGGTTCGTAATAATAATAATAATAAGAAGAAGAAGAAGAAGAAGAAGAAGAAGAAGAAGAAGAAGAAGAAGAAGAA